GGTAGCTCATCGCACCCCGTTGTCTTTTTGTCATCGTTGCACAGAAGGGATTTGGTTTCCGGCACGGAACTCTGTCACTTTTTCTGAGACGCATCTCATTTAGAAAATCAAGTTTCTTTATATTTTGGTTTTCTTCCTCATGACACCTTGTAGTTATCCACGCCTTTGCCAAGTTCACGAGGTAACCTGCTACCTTCATCTAAGTGGTCTAAGTGTGTAGAACTGACACATGGAATGGTTATATATGATTTGTGGATCCTGCGAATAATGCATGTTATGAATGAGATAGTATAGTTGCGTCATATTGTGATATTAATTAAAATAATTATTATATTTGTTTACCGTCAAATCACAATAAAATAGTAAGATAAGATAATTAAAATGATTAAAATATCATCTTATGTTCCATATCGAGCATTCGATTTACATCGGAACATTCACAACATGTTTCGGTTTATCAAACCGTCATCAGGTGTAAATTATAAACTTTTAAACTCAAATTACAATTATTTATAGTTTTACAATTTTATACTTTTATCATCTTTCTCAGTATATTTTTTGGAAGTTGTGTTTAGATATTATTAATATAACATTATTGTTGAGGTGGTGTTTTGATGTTTTACCAGTCTGTGAAGTAAAGGATTCGAAAACATTAATGAAATATGATTGAATATAGAAAACAAAATGAACTAAAATAATAAATAATAGCAAATAAACATACCATAGATGAAATAGCAATCGGTTCAGATGTGTTCAGAGGAGAGATCCAGAAGTGTTACCATCTCGGAACGAGGTTCGTTATTGACTGCGGTGTAAGTGGGTGAAAGGTGGTTTGTCAGGGTTGGGGTCAAGGTACTGGAGTGCATTAAATATGGCGTTATTAAGAAAAATGTTGTTGTCGTTTAGGCAGATGTTTTGTTTATAAGTTTGTTGTATGTGATATTTTTCTATTGTATCTCTGTGTCTTTTGTTTTTTTACTATTTTTATAATGTCCATTGTTTCATTTATAGTATTATATGCATGTCCTGTATTTCATGTTAAGAAAGTCATCATTATGTAATAGTCTTCTAACGCCCTTATTCTTGGGTTTATATATCCTCATCGAAACGTTTTGCCCAGGCACATTTTTATTTATTGTATATTCACAGTAAGAACTAAATTTTCAACTATTTTGTGTTTATAGGCTAATAGTGCAAAGAATCGTTTCATACTGTTTAAAATTACAAGAATCCACAGGAAATGGTGCCTCTGGGTAAAATTTCCGATCTTTAAGATGATCCTTAAAAGGTCTTTGATGTCGTTTTATTTAACTGCAAGCCTTAACTCGCTGCTGCAGCGGCAACTTCTCGTACACGTCTGTCGAGCGAATAGCCTAAACTCTGCCGGAAAGCCCAATAGCTGGAGACTTCAGCGGACTTTGTTTTGCACCGAACTTTTTTCTTACCGAACTTGTATACATTTAAAAAACGAATTGGTCCGTTAATTTTAACGAGTTTCTAGCTGCTAATGCACCTATAGATAAGAAATTAGCCAGTTTATAGCATGTTCTTCTTTAAATAGGTGGTGATTTTCTTGGCCGTACCGTCAGTAGTACATTGGCTGTATGCCAACAGGGCTGAAGACGGAGGCAGTATGTTCCTCCGAAATGTTTATATCTACCTACAAGTCCACACTTCGTTATAGTCCTGAAAACCAACATCGACATCTTCACAATTGTAAAATTCCAGTCAAGCGTCCAATTTTGAGTTGGAAAGCAGTAAGTTATTGACTGATTACTGTGTATAGAGTATTGTACTAATTTTGGTTTTTGAATGATGCAGATACAATTAAAAAGCGTGATTATTATATAATTTATTAGCTGGATAGATAAAATTTCTTCTGCAAGTAAATATAACATCGTAGGATTTGAGGTTTTCACTGTAATGTCTTCTGGGTTTTTGCGCCGTGTAGTCTGGTAGAAGTTTGCCAACTCGATGAGTCCTGGTGATGGATGCAGCAAGGACCTCTGAAACGTCGGTAAACTTCTACCAGACTACACGGCGCAACAACCCAGAAGACAGGCATCTTCAAATATAACATCGATTCCTAGTGGTAACACGTTAGCGTACTTTAAAACTACGAGAGTCAGTTATTCAGAGTGGTGATGATTACTTTTAAGATAGTTAAAAATTATAGATGGCAGTAATTGACTTCCTGGACAAAAGATGCAGGACACAAACAAAAAGAATTATGGATTGAATTTTTCGATTTGAAACGTGTATTTGTTTCATACAAGGATTCTGAGTAGGGACAATCAAGTGATGAAGAATGTACCCTGCTTATACTTTACAAAGTGAAACATTTCAAACACCAAAATAGTTATTACATGAATATATAAAAAGTAGTATCTTGGCCGAAATCAAGTTTCCAAAGTGAAAAGAGCATCTGTAGTCTCTAATTCCCTCTCCGTTGTCTTCAGTCTTTCTTCCGCGCAGCTCCAAATTCCTTTAGTCATCAGATTCTGCAGATTTGTGCCGCTAGGTTTCATAGTTGGAACCTGGACGTCAACACAAAAATAAACCTCTATATCACTTTTTTTGCGGAATAATTTGGTACTATTTTTCTCTCAATTTCGCCATTTTCTTCGCTGTCTCGTGGCCTCTTACCCTTCCTCCCTTGGCCTTGGCGTCATCACAGCCCCGCGCAGTGAGGGGTGTGTCTGGGATGCCATTGGCCACCAGGTCGGCTCCCTGGCGAACGCCTTGCAACCTTGTCCAGGTCCACTCCGGGTCCCGTCAGCTACTCGGAATTATCTCTTCACCAGCCAAAGTCCGGTGGAATTGCTCCAGAACAATTCGTATCTCTGACAGGTTATCCATTCTACAAGTATGCGGATTTATATTGTATTGTCCGCCTGCACACGACACCAGGAAGTTGTAAACTTATTTTATTTTATAACGTTGGGTTTATATGTTTCGAACTCTTTAGTTTATCATTTGGCCCTTAAACAGATTGCACATTGAAATTTTACTTTATTTTGGTATATCAGTTGATGCACTGAACAATATACGTTGATTGTTACTTTTTAAATTAATATAATATTTTGACAATTTTATATTTACCACAATAAAAGGCTTAGAACATATTTTAACATTATTTAATATAGTTTTGATTTTAAAAGAATACGAAACGTACGTATAGGTGATGAAAATTCGGGGTTCGAATACGTACTGTTCACTACCACAAATAACTCGTGGTGGTAACTTGCCATTTCCTTCCCATACTTCCTCTTATACTTGTTTTGAAGCATAACCAATCCGTTGTCTCGTAAAGTACGATCCATCCATTACCAGGCCGTGTACACCAGTAGTGAATAACTAGTGGTATCCCTTCAGTCGTCTTTTACCATTATTACTTTACGGTCTGCTCCAACACGGGGCTCCAGGGACCAGGACTGCATGTTGCCAGAGAACTCTATGCTTAAATGAAATATTCATGGTCATTTGCGCTTCTAAAAAGCGCGCGAGAGAGGCGGATACATAGACAATATCAGCCATGTACTTGCACAGCAAATGGGATGCGCTTAACAAAAAAAATATTGAAAATAGACGTTACGGCTATAGCCTACTGGTTGAAATCTCTTTCAGTTAATAATTTACTGAAAGCTATTAGCGCAGTACGGAGATGTCCTCTTCCAGTTTTAATAAGTTGGTTCCCTGCCTACCGCTGCTGCCATCTGAATTTTTCATGCTGCTAATGATGTAGGTACAGTCAGAACGAATACAAACTACGTCCTGCGCATCAGAAGTAACAGATGATCTGTTTAAACACCATACGTAATTGGTGTTGAATTTTATTGACGATATGATCGCTTTTCCTATAACAATTGATATAACTTTTACATCACAGCATTTTTATAACAGGTAATTTAATGGCAGTGAAATCCGATGCCAATATGGATTCTGTAGGTTCTGACTATGGTATAATACAGTCGGAGTTACTGGGTTATTGGACTTTGTCCATCGTCTAAGGTTAAAATGTACACTACGTTTCGAAAACAGGGTCGTTTTCGTCTTCAGGTGTATGGGGCAGGGGCACCTACTCTGTTGGGTCCGATAGAAAGAGCTAGGACTAGGTTATGTCTGATTTATCAATTTATCAAACAGGATAGTTGCGTTACAGTGTAGCGTATCTTCAAGCGTCTTACGTCAAGATGTTCTTAAGTCCATATTCTCATTTCACCTAGAATCATTTCCCCCCTTGAAAGTGTCGGGAAACACGGTTTGTGAAACGAGAAAGAGACAGGAAGGAAGAACGAAAGATAAAGGTTAGAAAGATTTTAGTTTCCTTGGCGCTATTCGATCAAGCACATTACGTGGAGAGTAGAAAGAGGATGACTTAAGATTCCCGACATAGTCCGAAATGCTAACAAGAGGTTTTCCACGCCAAATTTAATCGAAATACGTTGAAACCTTAGAGATAATGAAACATGCAGACTGGTGAACTGTCAGGCATGGTCTTTCTGATATGGTTTCAGTTGTACACGTATTGCAAGAAACGCTATGAAACCATTCAAATATTTTCCCCTTCTCAATAATTTGTGTTGTCTCGTGTAAGCTGGGAATTGGTACTTTATTCAAGGGGAAACGTACTATGGCCGTGAGGTCTTGGCCGCTCCCGGGACCAGAGTCTCAGAGCCCCCCCACCCTTTCTGCTTTAAAGGGGACTAAATTTTATTTTAAACACTACTAATGTTGTCTGATATATCCTGTTAATGTAAACAATCTAAAAATAAATACATTTAAAAACACGATATAGAAATAAATACAAAGAAATTGCATTTTATATTGTTGATAACGGACAACGAGTGTTTCAGGAGGTTATGGTTCCATTGGGTGTGTGAGAATGTGTCATGAGGTCCAGACTATTCCAGCGTTATGCGTATGTATTATCGTAAAGTTTCCCATCCTGCTTAATATCGATATACACATATCTTTCGACTATCGAACAAATGATAGCTCATAGCTATTTATACGTTGTGACTATTTGCGGTGGCAGGTGTAATAGGCGTTGATCTAGTGGGCAACCATGTTTTCACAGATCATAGATGGCATAAGTTGACAAGGTGTGGTTTGATGACATTTGCTGCTTAGTGTAGTTTAGTATTGTGTTTAAGTGTGTTACGTGTTGCGTAGAGCAAAATGGGGCTAAAGAAGTTTCAAATTGTCTTTGATAATCCATGGTCAACATATTATAGTGGTCAGCCAGTGACAGGCCGTTTGCTTCTGACTGTCGACTCGCCAAAAAAGATTCGGGGTATGTATGTAAACTATGGAAGCTGGGTTGAAGGGAGGCTACATGCCCCCCAACTTACGGGTATAAATGAAAGCGTACACGAAAGACGATCGAGCATATATTCAGTATTACCCAGGCATAGAATAGAATTTACATTCCATAGATCCTTCATAGGCCTAAGGCAAGGATGCGGAACATGTCATAGCACACAAATACATTACTTGTTTGTAATATAAATTACATAGTTATGACAGTAAGTTACCGTCAACTACATAACTACTAATGTTTCCATGTATGTATTTAGTCAGGTACCCCACATTCTATGTGATGTGGACCTTAGTAACCCTTAGTATACTTTGTATTCCAACTACATATAATTGTGCCAGTTTTATCATATTCGGTTCTGTACTGGTTGTACCATCTTTTGCTACTGCAGTTGAAGGGGAATTTTAAATGTGACATATGCTTTTAGTTACATTACTGCTTCTGTAGCAAGACAGCTTTTGTCTGCATTCTGTTCCTGCCTCCAGTGAAGATAACATGTTTTTAACATCTTGTAGCAGTTTATCCCAGATATTGGTAATACAATGTAGTCAACAGGGATCTTGTACTTGTCTGCATGAGTAATATGTTGGCTTCATTTGGTGCTTGGAGACTTCTAACATCCGAGATTTGAGATTTTCATAGAAGTGAAGATGATAATGGTTTTCTGGATTGACTTGTAGGTAGAAAACTATCGTCATTTTCAGGGCTTCAGTTAGTAACAACTGGTGTTCAGGAAAGGACAAATGTGGTGGTTGGGTAGTTGGTGCTCCTGCCCCTTATTTCGATGTTCTGGATTTGATTTTAAGCTAGAAGCTAAGGTATCCTGAGAGTTTTTGTGGTTTTCCACACTCCATTCATGCAAGTGTTTGAGTAGTACCTAGAAATAATCTATGTATTTTAGAGAGCATTATTAAATAACCAGTTAACTACAAAGAAACCTGGAATGTGATTGTTAGTTTGGTGATGGATTTATTGTTGACTCAGGTGTGCATTGGAAGTAATAACAGAACCATATAGGGATAATTAGTTGTTTTTTTCTGTCAGCATGAACCAATTATTTATATTTTATGTGGCATTTGTTATTTAAGCATAAATATTGTTCTTTTTTTCAGGCATTGTTATACATTTTAAAGGTGAAGCCGCAGTTAAATGGAGTGAAACAGAAACTAAAACGAAACAAAGCACTCCTGCTGCCACCATTACTAGTACTGGGAATGAGGGAAATGTGGCTGCTGCTGCTACTGCTACTGCTGCTGCTGCTGCTGCTGTTGGTAGCTCTATTCAGAATGTCACTGTCAATTTCTCATCACATGAACAGTACTTTGAAAACAAATTTAACTTGCTTGGTGGGAGTAAGTACTGTTTATTATTTGTATGAGATTTGAGGTTCTTAAAGAAGTGAAAATTTTGATTGTGATCTCGTGGATTGTGACACCATGTACTCTTATAACCAATTTGAAGACTGTGGTGTCACAATACACAACACCACCTTTCTTATTTGTTATATAATTAATGAATGCATGATGAGAATATTTGTTAAGCTTTCATGGCAACTGACTTTAATAAAATCTTAATGGCTTATTAGCCACATTACTTGATTAAATTTCTACTTTTCAGGGATAAACTTTATCCCCATCATCAGGATTATGATGTAGATGTAGCAGTTCATATATGTGGTCTGCATGAATTGTTATAATTGCACCAATATAGTCATATTCCAGATAGCGTTGTGTGGTTGCAGGTGGTGAAACTGAATTGCCAGCTGGAGATCTTTGCTACCCATTTGCTACACACTTACCTCCAAATCTGCCATCATCATTCGAAGGAGAACATGGGCATGTTCGATACACAGTAAAAGCTATACTAGATCGACCATGGAAATTTGATCAGGAGGCAAAAGCAGCGTTCACTGTTATTTCTCCTTTAGATTTAAATACTCATCAAACAGCAAAGGTTTGAGTCTTTCAAACTGTATTACTCTGGTCCCTAGAATTTGTAGTGGTTCTTTAGTGCTATAATTTATATCATTCAGTTGTTCAGTTGGTGAGCTGTCTATTATATTATAGTTTAAAGAGGAGGAGGAGAATGATGATGACTGCTGAATGTTTCTGCTTGCTTCATATTTTGACTATTTATACCTATTGTTTTGTTAGGTTAGGACTGCTTGGTTGTAACACCATGTGCACTTGTATGTAGATATTAGCATTTTGAAGAAGATTCCATCTCCATTTTTAGTATGTTTCTCCAAAATGTCAATATCACCTAAATTTCCACATGGCTTTACGATCGAAAAGACAAACTTCACCATTTTGTTATGATCCAGGAACCTGTCAAGAAGGAAGTATCAAAACACTTTGGTTTCTGTTGTTGGAGTTCAGGACCTCTGACAATGACTTTATCACTGCCTGTTAGTGGTTATGTTCCTGGTCAAGACATCCCCATTACTGTTGATGTTGAAAATAACAGTGACGTACCAATACGCGAGGTGAAATGCACTTTGAGAAAGGTATGAGAAACATTATTTTGAATTTGCTACTTTGAGTTTTGTGTGAACAGAAACTGATGGCCTTCAGTCAGTCCATGTTTGTGTTGCTGATTGAACTGGTTGAAACTTAAATTACTCATTTCCGACAAAATATTTTCAAGGATTTAGGTGACTGGTTATTGGTAAGTGGTTAATGATATGAAGTATATCTATTACAGTTACTGACTTTCACTGTGACAAGTCCTCATAAAAGTACCAAAAAAGACGACATTAATATTGGGGAGTTGGTACTGGGTACTGTTGAGCCTCATGGAACAAGCAATTGGACACAGGTGCTGAAGGTTCCACCTCTGCCTCCATCCAATCTGAACAACTGCAGTATAATTGATCTGGACTATGATCTGAAAGTAAGTTAATATGGATTTGATCTTTATATCTTCTTCTTCTATGGCTCTCCAGTCCATATTTGGTCCATGGCCTCTTCAGTTCTCCTCTTCCATTTGGTCCTCTGTTAGGTCCGTCTGTCTGAGGCTTTGATTGAGGTTTCGAAACATCTTCCTTTTCACAGTACAAGGTTGTTAGCCTTGCGACCAATCCCCAACCTGAAGGACCAGGGTACCTGTCTTAGTCTGACCGCTCCCCCTCGACGAATCTGGCTAGGGAGGCCCTATCAGTAGCTAAGCTACCGCCAGCATAGCTCTTGGTGTCACTGAGGTACTCAAGCCCCACCACCACGACAAGGTGCAGGTACCATTAAGTGGGGTGATCTTTATATACAAATATATATAATGAGATTATAATATCAGTTAAGTATGACTGGTAACTATAACTTTACATTTAATTCAGAAACAAACTCTATGGAGCAGAATTTTTATTGAGAAGCTCTTAGTACACTCACCTCTTCAAGAAATTCCCCACCTATTATGGAACCAAAAGGGTTATTACTGTGTCACTGCCACTGGTCATTATCCTGAGCCAGATGAATCCAATATGCACCCTTTACCTAAGATTTATTTTAATATTATTCTCCCGTATATGCATAGGTGTTCTGAGTGGTGTCTTTCCTTCAGGCTGTCCAACCAAAATTTTGTATGCATTTCTTATCTCCCCCAAGCTGGAGGACTACCCCTCATCGGCTGTCTGTACATACTTATTTAATATATTCAGTTACCCTCCACATCTGAGTCCTTTCCTTCCGTCTGCAATCTGAGGACATGCTGTGCCATGGTGACTTTTGACACATTTAATTTTACTTTTATTTTACAGGTAAAAGCAAAAGCTTCTAAATGGCATAGAGACCTACAGTTAGCAACACCAATCATTCTGGGAACAGTTCCTTTAACTTCTTATCAACCACCTGTTTTTTCATCTGGGGAGAAGCCTCCAGGAGAGGTAAACGGTGAGACATCCAGTGTTCCTGCTGGCACAGGTGATGCCACTATTGGGTATAACATGCAACCGTCTGTGGGACCTGTTGGTATCGGAGAACCTCAGGCTTCAGGAAATTCTGGATGGAATATGCTTCCATCTGACACTAATGCGCAGTCACAGGGTGTACCTTATGTTCAGCCTAACGTAGCTCCACAAGGACCTGCGTCTGCATCTTTATATCCAGACCTGTGTAAGTATGTGAGAATGTCTAAGGATATTTCTAGTCCATTTTACAAGGAAATCCTTGTATTCATACAAATTACTTGTTGGAAAGTTTTGTCATTCAAACTCACTCATGGTTTTCCTTATAAAATTCATATGTACTCAACAAGAAATTCCCCCTTTAATGGAACCACATTTTCATTACCATGTCCTGATCCTGCGTCTCTAAGATTAATTTTAATGTAATCCTCATTCCTACATGTAGATCTGCCAGTCAGTCTTTTTACTTCAAATGTTGCAGCTAACATGTTATACATATTTCTTAAGTCCCTCTTAAATGCAAATATGCCTTGAATTTGAGAATAGTTAACCCTTTATTTACATCATTTCACAAGCTTCTGTAATTCCGTTTGCTGAGTAGTGTCTGTATTATGACTGAAAGAAGGGTAACTGGATTTGATATAATCATAGAGGTGGCAGTGGCACACACAAATCTCCATTCTTTAAAAGAACTTGAACAAGGATTAGTTGGTTTAGTGGATTTCTTAAGGTGTTTTAAAAATGTTTGATATCATTTAAAACTTTTCTACATAAAATAAATGTACAGATGAGATGTGTGACTAAGTTTGAACTTACTAGGGCAGTATGACATTTTATCACAAAGGCGAAATAGATCCTTTAAAAATGGGAGTCTGGTTACTCCCATATATTAAAAAAATATGATTTTGAGGTTCGTGTTTCAAGTATTTGTTTATTGCAGCTCCAGCTACATTTTCTGAGAGCATGTTTGGTCCAAAGAATATCAAAGATGCAGGAGACAATCAGTACACGCAGGGCAACTTGGAATATGCTCCACGGTATCCAGTTTTCAATTTTGAGGATAAGTAATGTTGCCATTAAGAAATGTTGTGCTTACTAACATACAATATTCTTATTGACCGAGGAACTAAAAATCACAGAGTTGCGAAACCTTTTGCAAAGTAATGATCTGATGTATTGTAAAATTTACCTAAAAAGTGAAGGTGATGTACCATTGAGATTATTTACCAAGAATGGAACTTTCTGAGCCTTTTTGACTGTTGCATTAAGAAAATTTACTAAACATATTTACCCTATTTGGTGGTGAAGTTACGAAGAGTTCTTGAGTAGAAAGTGTAAGCGCACATTGTCAGATATTTGTTGCATTGGCCTTGTCATTACAGCATGAAAATTCACACCTAGAGTAGAAGTATTTATAATTTGTATTATATGCAGCTTTTATGTTGTGATTTCTTTTGGTCAGCTTCAGAATTTTAATACTCTCAGGATACCGTTGCTTTCCTACGCATTCTTATAACCCATCATAACTTCACCAACAAAAAATGCAGCTCAAAGGAATGGAAAAATGAAAATTAGCTTTAAATATATGAACTATATTAATATTTACACAACACATGCAGTAGTAAGGGCAAAAGTAGTACAGCAGCACAAATTCCTCATGTGTAGTGGACATGATATTGGGCTAGTGTGAATTATGAGAAACTCTGCTTTTCATAAATTCATCTTCCACTGCCCTCGGCTTCCATGGAATAGCTTCACGTTTCTCAAATCCTTATGAATGCCATCCATCTGCTGCTGTAGTTACGTTTCCGTAGTCCTTGGCTATTAATTAAAGAATACAGTGAGAGTTCCTAGTTCTACTCCAGGGGTCTGATTTGTTGAGTTTACGAGGCAGTCTTACAATTTTTACAATCTAAATACTCATTCAAGATCAGGTAATTGTTAAGGGACATATTAGGGTTAAGACACTGCTTTTCAGCATTGAGAAAACTAGAAATGGTGAGTGAAATTCTGTTTCATAATAATTCTTAGAATGCTCTATTCAAATATTCTTCTTACTTCATATTCTTTAACATTTATGATTGCTGATTTAATATTTGAAGGCAGGTTTGTACACATTACTAGGAAAGGGCAGTGCTTTATATATCAGAGTTCCTATTGTACTGTCATGTTAATACAAAACATTTGTATTTTAAAGTAGGTGGGACTTGTTTATTTTAGTATTTTTTTAAAATATGCTGTTTTATGATAAATGTTTAATGTGATACTTTTATTAAGGTATTTCATTAGTTATTTTCAGATGAACATTTGATAACATATTCAGACATCTTCATCACTGTGGGTCTACAGTGGCCGCGCGGTCTGAGGCGTGGGCCTTGTGTCGCTTGGTCGCTGGGACCGTGGGTTCGAATCCCACTCAAGCCATGGATGTTTGTCCTCGTTTTTCTGTGTTGTGCTGTCCTGTGTACAGGTAGAGGCCTTGCGACAGGCCGATCCCTCGTCCAAGGAGTCCTACCAAATGTCCATAGATCGAGCCAATGGAAACAGGACCCGCAGTGCTCAGGCACTTGAACGGGTCGTTCCCAGTATCCAGTATCACCACTGTTATGTGAAAAGTCTGCTGAAGCTTTTACTGGCATTTGTATGTGGTTTTAAAACTTAGAAAATGGTATGAAGTTTATCAAATGATGTACTTCTTTTATATTCCACAGATAAGATCTGCTTCATCATATTCATTTAGTGCCTTAATGAATTAGTTTTATGTTGCTGTGGCAGGTATATTCTCATTTGTTGTGGGTTCATCTCTGTTCCACCATTTTGCTGGTCTAGAAATAAAGGTTAGTTTAGTTTTAATGTTTGTAGTGACGCAGGATTAACCATTCAGTGCACATATTTAGCCCTTTCCTGATGTGTATTGAAAATTGGCATGCTTTCTGACTTCAAGATGACACCAATACCAGCTGTTAGGAATCTGAAATTTTGCATAGTGATATTTTAGCCCTTTCAAAAAAATTCAGCCCGTACCGCAAAGGAAACGCAACTCTTCTCCATTACAAAGATCAGCTGGTTAATGCTGTTTGAGGAAATAACCCATTTATAGAGAGAGTCATGCGAAATCCACAAATATAAAATGCAGAGTTTCTGATTGTCAAATCAGCTGGTACACATACTTACCACTCAGCTTTAAAGGGTCAGTGATCTGAAGTGCTTGCGATGGGCTGCTCACTAGTCCAAGGGGTCTCTACCAAATGTCAAAAGGAGGCCTCTATGCTCTGCGTAGGAGACAAAAGGATATAAGAAGAAGATTTTGTGGTAATATCTGTATTAAATTGAAAGTAGTAATATGGACATGAAGCATGCATTGTCATTTGACAGCTTGTTCACTGATGTAAAGTTTGACATGTCTGTGATTTCTGTATGGAATTTATTGGTTTATACAGACAGTATGATTGGTGGGAAGATGTGTTTCAAGAAATTTTTGAAATGTATTCTTTGTGATTTTTATACCTCATTGATCTTGATGCCTTTTTATTGCAAACATAAACAAACTGTTACACACAAATTTGAGCCCATACTTATCTATATGTATTTCAATAAACACTCACCATTTTGCCAATTTTTTCTGATATCAGATGTAGATGTTAATGACATCTATATGCTGTATCTTTTTATACAATGAGCTAGTTTTGAGAAAATAATAAATTTATTTGATGTACGATGTTATATTGGGCCCGTGGGAATCAAACTGAAATTTGCCTGACAGCTTGGAGCATGTACTCCAGTACCAAATATATTTAACATTTTAGTAGTTTTAGAGTTGGGACTTGTTGGCAGATGGGCAGTTTTCCTGGTACTCATTAATTTTATGCATGTTATACCAAGAACAAATAAAAGCAGCTTTTAAAATTACACTAACATATGATAATTGTTACTGGAATTTTATAATGCTGTACTAATTATAAATGCAACAACTAATAGTATTCTGAATAAATAAATAAATATTGTTGTGTTATAACTTCTAATCAACATAATTAAACTAGGTGTGTTATATTAAATCATACTTATATGCTAGATTATTTTTCTGGAGAACAGTATGAATATAACTTTATTTGTTCAGACAGATGGGCTTAGATATCTTTATGTGCATTAAGTATTTGGAAACAATACGTAGAATTCCAAATTTACAAACTATAGATCTGGACATGTAGTACCAAACGCTACTTAAGTGGTAACTTTGTCTTTCTTATGATACCAGCTATGTATGTATGTATTAGGCAGCTCCATGGTCTATTACATATAAACTACATGATTTGAAAATGAACACTCTTATATAGTGGATAAATATAAAATAAATTAATGTTTATGTTGCTTTTTGAAGTGTTGCGGGTATCTGTGTGATTTTCTGTCTTACTTTTGAAGAACATAATAAGTTTTTACAGCATATTATTTTTATATGTACTCAAAGTATATTTTTAACTGTGGATAAATATTGTATAGCAAACATTTAATCTCTTTTATATAGTATTTGTTACAATGTATACTGCAGTCATTATAACAATATGATGTAGTAAAACCTGACAATGTTGGTTTCATTGTTATGCACAACATTCTCAGTCATATTACATACATTTGTACATACCACACGTGTGTCTAATGGTAGTGGTCAAATTCAGTGTCTTTACTGATACTGAAAGCATGGCAACTTATCTTTTGTATTCTGTTTTGTACATAGCTAAGACATCTTCATTGTTTAGTTATGTAACTCTTTGGAAATGGGTTGTTGACAAACTTCACCTCTTCTGCTCTATGGAAGTAATTTTTGGAATATTTTATTAATCTGAATTATTCAACATCTTTACCTTTGTTCCAAATGCCTACACTTTGAAAAGCGTCTCTACTAAGATGCTGTGAGCCTCTTGAGTTTTAGTATAAAAATATTAATGGCTTAATAAGATTTCTATGAAATGAACATCAAGGGACTGACAAATATACTTTTGTCACACCATAAGATTCAGGCAGAGTGTGTTGCACATCTTATATGCTTGGTTTACAGGTCTCTACTGTTAAATAGTTTTTGTTACTTGAATAATTGTAACAGTTTGCCAAAATAAATATTCTAGTTGAAGGAAAAGTCTTTTAGTCTGCAAATTCAGACTGTTTCTTCCATTATTTTGCTTTGAGGTTATCATATTGTGACTTTTGGCAACCTAAAACCTGTGCTAGTACTTAAATCAATTGTTTATTCATATAATTATATTTTCAATATTTGTATTTTATGCAGAATTTGGTTCTCAATGACTGCTCCATTTAGTCCACCATAATACAATGTTAGACTGAACGTGTGTTTTACATAAACGTAGTTCTTGACATTGTGCATAAATGTTTTAGAACAATTTCTTATTTTCCATTAGGTTCCAGTAATGGGTGTGTAGGTCGAATAATAGGTTCTTACCGTCTGAGCATCGCTACAACTCTTTACAGTTGTGATTTAACCAACGTGTAAGAGATGGCAGCACATTTTCAAGTAATTACGATGTCAGAGGTGGCAAGCCACGTGATATACAGAACCAATCACAGCTGGAACATTTAAATAACTGGTTCTTTTTTTGATTAGCATGATTTAATGTAACCAGCTGCTCAAGACAACATAATTACGAATTACTAATGCATTTATCTTAGAGAGTCCACAACCTACTATATATGGTTCCTTGTAGTCTTATATTGGTGGGGGTGGAGGAAACTGGAATTGTTGACTTTCTTTGTCTTCATACCCACACCAGGTATTAAGGTACTGTTTGGCACCTGAGGGGAAATATCAATTTTTTTTTTTGGGGGGGGGGGGCACAAGAGAAGTAGTAGTGTGAGCATGTTGTAATGGCGGTGTAAGTAGTGTTGAAGGGAGCAAATGATGCCTAAACAAAAATTTGCGAAATTAGCAAGAAGCAGCAACGTAGAAGATATGCAGAGCAAATTGTCACGTTTCTTTAGTAAAAATCCCGAAGGCGTAAGCATTTCCTTTATGTATTCACCCCACAATAGGATTTTCTGTAAGTTTTGTGTTCATACTACCATTTACTACAACATGCACTGTTATGAAGTACGAACCACACAGAATTGTGCCTTTTGTACTGTGTGACAAACTGACGATGAAATCCGACACACCATTTTGTTAACTGTTTTATCAATACTGAAATTATAGGCTGTCAACACTACACGTTTTCAGAATAGTAACATCGGACCAATATCCCCTTCGTATTATATACGACATAATATGTCGACCAGGTTCATGGACAAGAATCTTCTGTAGAAGCCAAGAGCTTGTCAAATTTTCCACCTTTTTATTTTTGAACCAGAAGGATCATTGATATTCACGAAGAAATTAGGGAGACTGAATTCTGGAAATGCTTGCTACTTTTCAATTCAAAATATTTTGTCTTCCCTTCTGATTTCTAAGAACCTAAAGATTAAAATATAAAAACAGTAATTTTGACGTAGATGGGAGGATAATATTAAGCAGGATCTATGGGAGATAGGAGTTGAAGGCGAGTGGATTTTGCTGGCCCAGGACAGGGACCTGTGGAGGGCTTTGGTTAATTTGGTGATGAACCTTCAGGTTTCTTAAGTCGTCTATTTAGTTAGAAGGTTCATTGTTTGGTTTATAAGAGCCTGCCACTGGCCCCTATCTTATGTCTGGGGAATCCAGTCCATACCCTTCTACCCATTTTCCTTAACCATTCTAATATCATTCTGCCATCCATATGTAGGGCTTCTGAATAATCTCTTCCCTTCAGGCTTTTAAACCAAAATGTCAGTTTTTACTCATCCATATAAGTACTTTTCCTCCTGTAATTCATCCATCGTATGTGAAAGATTTGCTGTTATGTGAAAGTCTCAGCATATAATGGCATAATGCAAAAATCCCAGGCATATTACAGATTAAGTGTACAGCCAATATACAGTCATATTTTCAAACAGGCATCTTATTTCAAGGTGAGGTGCTAATTTACTTCTTTGTGAAGAAATAAAAATGCATATGATTGTGGATCTCTTCTATAAGACTTGAAATTTTCTAATTATCTGTCTACAGCAGTTTCATTTATAATCCATTTTATATTTTTCTTAGTTCTTTTTTCCTACTGCATTCAAAGCAAATTATTGTCAGAAAACCATTGATTCTTGTATGCTTTACATCATCAGCATTAGCCATTTATATCAGCACATTTTGTATCACTATGATAAAGCAGTAAAGCAAACTATTATTATTATTATTATTTACAAGTTCCAAGAATCCAATAGTGGATATAGAACACGTCACAAATTCAAGTATAAAAACATAAAATACATACATTAAAAAATTACATCTAGACAAGCAGCGTACTAAATTCAAGACAATATAATTAGTATTTTTATTACAATAGTTATCCAATTAAGTACTCATCCACAGTGTAAAACGAGTGAGTAATTAAGAAATGCCTTAATGCAACCTTGAACTTTTTAAAATTATTTGAGGTATTCTTAACCTCTGTGGGTAATTTATTAAATATCTTTATACCCGCATAGTGAACTCCTTTCTGATAGATAGTTAAATTGGCTTGGGGTAGATACAAATTTTGTCTCTGTCTAGTATCAATAGTATGAGAGTCAATGTTTGATGGAAAAAGAGTTTTGTTTTGTAATACAAACAATAATAAAGAAAATATATATTGTGATGCCAACGGTAAGATATCTAATTCTTTGAATATATTTCTACACGATACTCTATTGCTACATCCCATCATTGTTCTAATTGCCTTTTTCTGAAGGAGAAAAATAGTGTGACTACTAGATGAATTTCCCCAGAAAATGATGCCATTGCATTACATTTTTAAGTGAAATAGACCAACTATGAGAAGATGTTGACCATAAAGGGACATTGTAATGTTTTGTGGGATGTATTATTAATATATATAATCATCAAAATAAGAATTATAACATGTGTTTGAACAAATAAATTATTAATTCTTTTACCACAACTGCAGCTGCTCCTCCTTGCCCTACCATAGCTACTGGTCCTTAAATGATTTTATCAGCCAGTGATAAAGCTTGTAATGTAGCATTAGGTATACTCGTAAGTTATTTTTGGTTTTCTTTTCAGCTGTGTGGAACACTGACAGATGAATCAGAAGTTGACAGCAATTTACTGTGTCCTGCAAAGAGGCAGAAATGCTTTCCTGACAGTCATACACTTGCTGTACAGCAAACTCTAGATACAAAAGAAATAGCATGCTCTATATCCACCGGGACCCTGAAAAAAATTAGAAAATTTTCAGCATTTCACGATGTTATTGAAGAACAAATGGAGTTTGGTGGTTCTTCCAAAAGAGAGAATGTTGAAAATAAAAAACAAAAGCATGAAATTAATTTATTTGATACTTGGGATTCAAAACGAGATTCTGCTTTGCCTTGTGACAAAAGAGATGATAGTAAGCAACCTTCAAATGTTCTGTTGCTCAGGTACAATGAGATTACTTAATATTTGTTTTTGCAGCTAGGTTTTGGTTTAAACATATTGGTCATTATTAATATAAATTATGTGTATATGTAGAGTGTTATCCTTTAATAGAAACCCCACGAAGACTGGAGACTGCAACAATATCAGCAATAATAATGTCACTGTAAAGTACACTCCACTTGAGCAACAAGTTTTAGAACTGAAGAAACAACATAGTGGGATGATTCTCATGATACAGACTGCTTATAAGTACACGTTCTTTGGTGAAGATGCTGAGGTATGTTTTATCATGCTTTAATTAGTTTAATTATTGAGTTTGTGTTGTAATGCTTGTACTTGTGAAGCATTTCCAAGCTCTTAGTAAAATAATCTGTATACCTGTAGTGTATTGGAATATAAAAATAAGCATACAAACAAAACTGTTTACACTATATAGTGTAAGCAGTTTTGTTTGTATGCTTATTGTTATATTATCTGGGTGTTGGACAGTGGGCCTATTAGTGACCAGTTCCATTGAGACATTGTCTCACCCCACTGCAACAATAACAATAATATTATTAATTAAGGTATATAACCTGTGTGTATACATGTTACTTGAACCCAAAATTTTCTTCATTATTTGAGGGTGTTTGTTGTGAATAGGTTACTTATATTAATGCTATTGAAACCTCACATTTCATGTTGTAAAGAAAATTATATCATATCATATCTACCTTAATGGCAGAAACTAGAGTATCTTTGTAAATCAGAAGGTAAGCACTTCCTGAAGGTTGGTGAAAATATTCTTGTACTTTTTCCACACATTCATTCAGAAGGTGTTGATTCTTATGTTGTAAATAAACATGTTCAGACATGCTAATAATAATTACAGTTCTAGATAATTATGTGTATTGTTCAGTGTGGGACAATTAGGGTTTTGGTCCTCAAAAAATATACTTCTGCTTTTCTTGTATGCGACTCTGAAATGGTTTTGAACTGCTGTGTCTACCTACATAACTGGAACAAAGCACAAGAAATATTTTTCTGAACAAATTATTAGAGAAGCAACATTTATATCTTTATAACAAGATTTCTTTTCTCCCAAGAGTTTTGTGAACAATCAAGAATTTGTGATGTAATGTGTATTTGCTGGTGTATCTACAGTCTGATTGTGTTATTGTCATATACAGATTGCTTCCCGTGTACTGAACATCATGTTATCACAGCACCACAACTTTCCTACAGCTATTATTCCAACAGTTCGATTGCATGTTCACATCCGGAGACTTGTGGAGGATGGTAAGCCAAGGGTAACATTGTAAAATATTTGTATGTGTTATTCTTAAAACGTAGTCAACATCAATGCAAATCATTCAACATGCCTTTACGTGCTGTTGCGTGATCTTGTTGTGGTTAGTTATATTCTGCTGAATGTTGCTTCTTGTCCCATACTCTGTTATTTATTTACATTGATGTGAGTGTAAACTGTAGGTTTTATATTACATTATGGGAAGAAATTAACACAAATATATTTTATGTTAAAATAGTATATACCTGATGTGACAAAAGTGTGAAGCAACATGCATCATTAATTTAAATGGAAATGTTGGGTAGATTATCAGTTTTGTTTTAGCGTTGAATTGCCAATGTGATCTTTCAAGTGACATTCATGTAAGTACTGTCATAAATGTACAGTAAAATATGTGAAGAAGCTATTTCGGCTTCTGAGCCACAGATCGCGAGATTTTCGGTGCAGTTTTTGTTAGTCCGTACTAAATTTGAAAGTTGCAAAATATTGTAATCTCGATACATTGATTAGAGTACCATGGTAAAAGAGGGGTGAGAACTGAATAAATGTAATGAAAGGAAAAGGTGTTATTCTTTTGTGTGTGACAGGTTACAGAGTTGGCGTGGTGAATCAGGTAGAGACTGCAGCAGTGAAAGCAGCTGGGGAGAATAAGAATGCACTGTTTGCTCGGGAACTTGCTCATGTGTATACTAAAGCTACCCTTATTGGAGATGATATCCTTTCAAAGTATAGGAATTTATTTGTATGAAATGTGTACTCATCAGCATATTTGTTGTTATTTTAGGCTGGGGCCACACGACCATACAAAGTATGTCCGTTGTAACGCACATTGTGACGTCCGTCATAGAATTATGAAGGGGCATATAGGGTACAACACACGAAGCACGCGTGCTTCGTGACAATTTTACTTTTTAAGAATAGTGTCTTTGTTGATGTTTGTGGTATTTCCTTAATATAATTAACATGTGGATCCTTTATCGCAAGAGGGAGAATTTATACAAGGAGCTAATGTTGCATGTTACATCATGTGCATTGCAGAATCTTCAACCACAGTATCTGGCAGTCAGCAGAAGACGACTAATCTGGCTTTAGTGGTGAGTAGTCATCAGCTAAGTGATGTGACTGTGGCCCAGGGCTGCAGGTCTTGTGGGCTATTACTTCAACGATCCCACATGTATGAAGTAATATTTTACATGTCTGATTTATCACACTGGTCTATAATATAGTTATTTCTTCCATATGATGGCAGTAAGTGTGAGCCATGAAGTCTACTCATGTGGACAAATGTAAATTTTTAATAGTACCATTATCATCAAACCCCCAGTCTCCCTTACATTTGCATGGTGTGGTACTTATTTGAGGACCAAGGACAACCTTGCCTTGATAATAATAGAAATAAAAACATATTTCTTCCTTAGATAATTATTTTTCTGACCACTAAGCATGGTGGTATTCTTTGTTATAAAACCTCAAATAGAGAAAATTATGTGTAAGAATACATTACAATTTCTTTTAATTTGTATTTTGAGCAGATAATTCTGTGCTGTTTGAAAATAGATGTGACATTTATTCTTTTATATTTCAAAGTACTAATTTTTTTTATAGGCATTTGATCCCAGCACAGGAGAGACAATTTACGATGCATTTGAGGATGGGCCTTGTCGAGAGGAGTTGGAGCAGCGGCTTGAACATTTAGATCCATCAGAAATTCTAGTACCTCATTCGCTTTCCCAGGAAACGGAGCGCCTTGTGAAATATAGGTAGAAAAGTAAAGTTAATTTTTTTTACAGTTTATGTGTAAATATGTGTAGTGCCGGTGGTCTAGCGGTTAGAACGTTGGCCTTGTAATCCTGGGGTCTCGGGTTCGATTCCCGGCGGTGCCCGAATTTATAACTTGTGTTGGGCAAGGCCGTGGTCTAGGCAACACGGAGTTTTTCTCCGTGGCATCCCAACAATTACTCTATTCACACACAGAAGAAGGCAATGGCAAACCCCTTCTGGATCATCTGCCAAGAACGTATATGAACAGGTCCCAGTCCGAGAAAAGGATGGAAGGATCCTGTTCATATGGACCTGTCGTCAGACAGAACGCTAAATAAATAATAATAATGTGTAGTGCATATGTTACCAGGTAAGTAATTAAATAGTCATCTTGCCTTACCAAATTGTACTTATCAAGCTGCAATAGTTTAGTAGTTATTGTGATCAAGTTCTGTAGAAAATGTGTCGTGTTCAACTAAAAGTGCCACTGAGTGTTGCAGCCATGTGGTTAGCACTCCTGCTTCATAGCTTCATATTTAGTGGGTCCTGGGTCAAATCTCAGCCTTGATACTGGCTGTCTTGACTGAGGCACCAACATTAAATAAACTGTAATCAAATAAAAATTGCCATATTTTAAATGTATTTTTCAAACATTTATCATAATCATATTATTTTGAATAACGCTTAGATTCCTGCCTCAGAATTTTACATCTCTGCTGTGTTGTGTGGGACAGTGGAGCTCTTAATGTGACAAAAAATGACATAATTTAACTTGATTGAGTTTTGCTATCAAAATGCTAAATCATCCAAATCCATCTCTTCTTATTCTGCATCACAGGGAAATGTTACGCAGTGATATGCGAACAGTTCATTGAATTGATGGCATAATAGATTTTAGCATTGCCCTAGAACAGTGAGACCTTAAGATGTAAATGTACAAAAGAGGGTTTTAATTTTTGATTCATATGCCATGAAAATACATGCTCTCCAAAAAGATGCATACATAATCAGGAAAGACAGGCATTTCTGATGACAAGTTATTTTTCCAGGGTCCAGAATTTTTCTTGTTGAATGAAGGTAATCTGTATTTTGGTATCTGAAATTACTGTCTTTGACATAATCTAATCTTATATGCCAAGGAAAGAAAACTTGGTTGCATATGTTCACATCTGTCTTTGTGTAATTCTCTGCAGTCTAATAATGGGTGATGAAGGAATTTGTGTTAAGTTTGAATTCTATAACACAAAAGATCACATTCACATTGCTGCCTTAGTTATGCTTCATGTGTTTTTTTCTCTTAGCTCTGCAAGAGTAGATCGACTGGAAGATGACTTATTTAGCTTCACGGGTGCACTGGTGCAAGTAGCATCTTTCTTCTGTAAGCAGGATGGCTCAGAATCTGATTCACCCAAGTTCTGTGAAATGACAGATCTGTCACCTTTAACTGTGATATGCTTGTCTGTTTTGATTCACCATTTGAAGCAGTTTGGATTGGAGCGGGCACTGAGATCAGATGCGTAAGTGTATTTATAGTCAGATGGAATAATTTTTGGCTTCCTCACCAGACATTTTTTAAATTTCTGTATTCTTTGTTTGATTTAACCGGTTTGTGTATGTACTGCATAGCTGACTGACCCTGTGTTGTGACTTAAGATGTATCTTCTGAGCAGGTTCGAATAGAAATAATGTCTTCCTCTCATAATGAACTATATTTTAAGATATGGTCAGAGCACTTGATACTATCAGTAATATTTGTGAACATTTCTGGTACTTCGTCATTACTTAAAATTGAAAATGTTGAAGATTCTACAATTTTCCTTTTCATTTTAATGTGGTGGGGGGATAATTGGGAGAGAGGATTGTGGATGTGTCAAATATTATAATGTAATGGGCAGGTTTAAATTCATTAACTCAGGTGATGATATGAGAATGACTTTATTTTTTGTAATGAGTGTTTGACTTTGTTGAGTATGGAGAGATCAAAATTAAATTCATTTTGCAAATAAAGTTGTGTATATATATTTATTTATGTATGTGTTTAGGTTACGAAGTTTCACCTCAAACTCAAGATACTTGCAAATGGATGCTACAGTTCTTAGGAACTTGGAGATATTTCAGAGCAGTGTGGGTTCTTCCAAAGGAAGTCTGTTCTGGGCCCTTAACCATACAAAAACAAAATTTGGGTCAAGGTAAGGCATATGACTAATAGGCTTGATCTGTAGACATTTTGGCAGGACTCCTTGGACAAGGGATTGGCCCGTCGCAAGGTCTCTACCTGTACACAGGACAGCACAACAGAGAAAAACGTGGGCAAACATCCATGGCTTGAGTGGGATTCGAGCGACCAAGCGGCACAAGGCCCACGCCTCTGACCGCGCGGCCACTGTGGACCCCTAAATTATAGGCCCAAGATTAAAATGTCAAACATACTTATGATTTTAAATCATTGTCTTAATATGTCATCTCTCCCTTTTTGATATATTGTGTGTAGCATTGTTTGAACCTTTTCAAGAGTTGTAAAAAATATACTAGTGAATGAGATAGTGTCATGTGTAGAGTACATCTAGAATTTTTGAAAATAAAAGCATTCCAAAATAATGTTAACTTACCTATGTGGCTATTCTTTTTACTGTGTATGTTGAGAATAATTAGTATATTGCTAATAGAGACAGCTATGATGCTGACCTTGTTTCTTTTTATACTAGATTACTTCATGAGTGGGTGTCACAGCCCTTACGTGATTTGACTGTGCTGCAGAGTCGGCAAGAAGCCATTAGCGAACTTCTTCACTCTGAGTCTGCCATTGTTCATCAGTTACAGGAAATTTTGTGTGGAATTCCAGATGTTGATCGTGGCCTCACCACATGTATACATCAGAGGGTATGCTGAACTATTATTAAATTAATTTGTACCATAATTTTTCAAATTTAAGTTATATTTTTTGAAACATTAGCAAAATGGTAAGTTTTAATTTGTGTTATTATCCTTCATTTTCTTACCTCATGTTCTGTTTGTGAGAGGTAAAAAAATGTGTTGTAAGCTTCCACGCTCTTCAGTTGTCAGAATGTTCTATGTTTAAATCCAAATAAAGGCTTCTTTCTACTGCTTTATTATGCATATTTTATCCATGACTTTTTATTGCAGACTGATTATAGGGTACTGTGAACAGGTTTTTATGTATGTTGCAGTGTGGACCAGCAACTTTATATGCAGTTTTACAGACTTTGGGGAAACTACAGACAGATTTGCAGGCATTATCTGCACTAGCTGAACAAGATCTGCAGAGTACCTTGCTGCAGGATTTGATCAAGGATACTGTAGAGCTGTTGTCCAATATCCAGCCTTTTATCCAAAACCTAAATCAACAAGCAGCTAGGTGAGGCACTCACTATGTAAGTGAACTCTGCCAACCTGGGGGTTTAATGGGCTGTGACGTTAATTAATTTTAGACTGCAGTGACTCAACCCTATTACTGTGATATTCAAGTTTACCCACCTACAGGTAAACTTCATTCTGCAACAAGGAATGATTTTTTCCTTTTGCTGCAACATTAGACTTTACTTTCTGAACTGCAAAAATATGTGCTTGTTTGTCTGCATAGTGCTGCCGTCTAATGTGAAGAGTTTAAAGTTGTATGTGTATGTCACATTGCTGCCATGCTGTTGAAAGTTTCATGTTTTGAATAATTTTTGCTTCAAAATTCATTTGCAGTTTGTTAAAATTGTAGGGATGGAGACAAGACAAAATTACTTCATGACTACTCTGCTTTTCCATCTGTTACCAAGAGGTTAGAACAAATTTTAGCAGTTACTCAACATCTGGAGGACTTGAAGCCTGGTATTGCTCACACATTGGGACTTTTGAGGTTTGATTATGTGATGGTGTCAGGTCAAGAATTTCTTATTGAGGTACAACAGAAGCAAAAGAAGTTAGTTCCACATTCATGGAGGAAAATCAGCGAGTAAGTACAGTGGAAACATGTTTTGTTGGATAAAATCTGGAAACGAATTACATTATCATGACTGACTGAAGAAATGGGTGGAATATTAACTCCCTACTTCACTTATGAATTACATGCTAGTGTCATCTGACAACCACATTCAGTTACACACTTTGAATGGAATACTCTATTAGTAGATCATATATAACAGTGAATGTTGTGTAAAAATGCACAATTATTTGGATTTAATTTCTACTGAAAATAAATAAATACTCTTGTTTTATTTCTGTCTTATGTTGTTTAAAACTACATCACATTTCTATTCATTTTCAAAATTGTACATTTTAAGTTGTATAAGTAATCTAAGGACAGCGGAAAATACCCTTTTTGACTGCAGCAGGTAATTACCAAGTGTTTACATTATGGTAATAATCAGTAGCATTGGTGCAGTATCTTGTGAGGAAATTGGGGAGCTACAATGAGTAGCGTAATCCGGTCAGGAAAGCTAGCAATGGCTGGGGGTTCGTCGTGCTACCACACGTCATCCTATATCTGGTTGGATGATCGTTCACCTCTGCTTAGGCATGTGAACGTGAGGCCAGCAGCCAGCTAGTCAGCTTTGGCTCTCTGGAGCTGTTACGCCACGGATTTAATTTTATTATTTTATTGGTGCAGTATCAAGGCTTGCAACGAGTTTGATTTCTTGGTCCTTTTGAACTTCATCAGTTACAACAGTTTGTTTTCTAATCAAATTTGAATTTCTGTATCACTAAGCTTTATACTAATATTACATTTCCTGTATGATCTTCTAAGTCACGTTACTTTTTGTATCTGCTTCGTATTTAATTGATCTCGTCTCTTGCCATCCAGAAATCTGCTTCTTGTGCATGCCATTTGTTGAGGTATAATCCTTCAAAATTGAATGTGCATTGAATTGTCTTAATCAAAAACAGATTTAAAAATTTTAGTTCATTAAGGAGGTAAGATATTTTATATTCACGTAACATTTTTCTGTAGTGCCTAAGGATTAAAATCATTAAATCTGTCCTGATTATTAGTAATTGGGACTTTAAATGTTGGAAGTACACAGTGGATACTGGTTGTTGTAAATCTGATAGTTTTCTCTAATATTTTCCAGGACAAAACAGGTCATTCGTTATCGAACATCGGAAGTAGATACTCGAGTCAGAGAGCTGAATCAGTTGAGAGAACAACTTGTGGCTGACTGTCATTCTGCATGGCTCAGCTTTCTTGCGGAGTTTAATGCTCACTACTTTTCTCATAAGAAAGCCATAAAAAACATTGCCATGTTAGATGTTTTGTTTTCACTGGTTCAAGTGGCAAAGCAAGAGGGTTATTGCAAGTATGTATTACTGAAGATTATAATTCAGTATGCACAGAATATACAGTGAAATAATTCAGACATGTTTTTCGGTAGGCTATAAAACTGTGTCAATGAACGTAAATTTAATTACATTTTAAAAAAAGTTATAAACATGCAGTCATACTGTTGACTAGATGATGGTGTACAAGAACCCACAGCCATCTTTAAGTTGTTTAATTTTTGTTTTGTTACGATGTGTTTAGAAGTCATTTTTAAGCATTAGAGCTGAAGCATCATAACAAAGTTTTTTATACATAGAATGTATGATAATACTTTGAAAGATTTTTATGTAATGTGAATGTATCTGTTTAGGCCTACGCTGGTAGATGTGGAAGAAGTAATTATTGATATTGAAAAGGGAAGGCATCCTGTGATTTCTCTTCTTTTTTCATCTGGTGATCAGTTTGTAGCAAATGGTACAAAATTGAAGGTAGGTAGTAAGTTTTGTGTATTATTGTATGAAATACTTTGGGAAATAAGTAACACCATATGCAGATTAGTGCATGAATTACGTTTCTTCCTCTTAATTGTCCTTCATTCTCTGAATCACTTACATTAAAAAAATTACTGTAACATTGTAAGTACATTTTAGATCTGAGAGTACATTTTCTTCTTCGCACTGTGACTGTCATAACTGAATGTACTGTATTCCCTCAGTTTTAAGATGACACCAATTATAATATTCCCTTTGATTTAGTAATAGGTTGTCAGGAAAAAAAATACATTATATCAATTCTTAGATGCCATCAAATGTAAGATGCACCCGATTTCAGGAATTTTAAAATGTGAAAAAAAGTGTCTTAAAATTAAGGAAATACAATTTATATTACAGATTTGCATTGTTTTCCTCCACATACATGTCCTCTCAATCATGTGACAAGATTGCAGATGTGACCGAAACTAATCTTTTGGTAGAAATGGCAATTGGGCACGCAACAGTGAGCTGAGCATCAGTTCTTTGCTTGGTCGCAACTTTAAAGAGGGATAAATGTCTGTTAAAGGTGATGATAGCCAGTAGAAAAGATGAGTAAGGCACTGAAAGAAACCATGAAAACCACCAACATATAATTGTCTGTACTTACTTTATTCTGAGGTGATGAAAAATACCAGTGAAAATATTAATTATGCTCTGTGATTAACTTATTGTACATAGGATGCTGGGGTATGGGGGTAAATGGTTTGGCAGTGTGATACTGCAATGAATAACAATAAGGGTTAACAATATTTGACCATAGTCCTGCCCCCATAAGTGTATTTTGAATTCTGTGTAATTTCAGTATGAGATTTGTAATGATTATAGAGATTCACTATAGAAGATTTTCTTGAAATTTCCCCACAACATTATTCTTTCCTGTATTTGCTTATTGAAGCTAAATTCTTAGTAGGCAGTACAACCTTGCTGAACTACGTATAATCTGCAGCAGCTGCTTCTTATAAGCCATATTTGAATGTTGTCTAAATTCACATGAAAAAGGTTAAATATTAATTTTGTATCTCAAAATTTATGTTAAGAATGTAAGATATGTTAGTGTGTGTTATATTTTTAAGTGCAGATTTTTGTAAGATACTACATTAATGTTTCAGAGTTCTGAAGAATGCTGCATGATTCTTTCTGGTCCAAACATGGGTGGAAAATCCTGCTATATACGACAAGTGGCTCTTATTGCAGTAATGGCACACATGGGTTCATATGTACCTGCAGAAAGTGCAACAATCAGTATATTGGATTCTGTGTTCATTCGGTGAGTTGCCAACCGAATAAGCTATCGCTCGGTGTAAACAAAGCGGTTTAATAGGAAGGTAGAGTTACACATAACAGGCAATTACATATTTAAAAACAATATGAAACGTTGGGTTCTCTAAATGTTGTTTACTAGAAGTATTTCCTCTGAAAAATTGCATTTAAATAGTAACTGTATAAAGGTTCACTTTTAACACTGACCATGTGTTTTCTCATACGCTAAACTTCATCAAGCAGGGAAGGTTTTATTACATTGTTTTTAATTTTCTTCTCAGTATGGGAGCTAGAGACGAGTTGTTTCAAGGACAAAGCACTTTGCTGCTGGAACTGGGAGAAGCGTCTGTCATTCTGCGTAAGGCAACTCGTCGTTCCTTGGCGCTGCTCGACGAGTTGGGGCGTGGCACGAGTTCTTGCGACGGAACTGCTATTGCCGTTGCTACGTTACACCACCTCTTGACACAGGTATTTATGTTTGTGATGCATGATAAACTTTCCTCTGTACTTTCAGTTTAGTTTAATTGTTTCCTGTAACTTTATATCAGGTGTATGTAAGCCACTTCACTTTTTCAGGTGCAGTGCTTGACCCTATTTGTTACGCACTATCCAGTTGTAATGGAATTGGAGCGCCAGTATAAAGGGCAAGCTCACAACTACCACATGGCTTTCCTAGTTCATGATAAAGGTAAAATATGGTTTATGATTGTTTTTGTGTTTATTCATATAAGGTTGAACTTTTTATTATTTACTAAGATGTGACCAAGTATTGTGCGCAGGATTACATAGTTAGCTGTTCATTATCATATCTTTGTGTTGTTTTATGTAATATGTTTCAGCCTTTTAAATCTTAATTTATTTTTTTATCCACTGAGATATTCTTGTGCATTTAACAATGTGAACTGTAGTATGAATCACTATATTCTGCATGCAATTTGTGCGTAGTGTAATTTACTCGAACACATCTTCTCAGCATTTTACATATAGGAGTCATCCCATTTTAGATTTCAGAAGGTTATATATAATTTATCTTCATTGTTGCAGAGGATAAGTCTCCTGAGGTATTAACATTTCTTTATGAAGTGACTAATGGATCAGCAGGGCACAGTTATGGATTAAATGTAGCACGATTAGCTAATCTGCCACCACGTATAATACAACACGCCTCAGAAAAGGCTCGAATGTTGGAATCATTGGCAAGTTACAAATGGTATGACAAATATCACATTTCCAATGACATTACTGGAAATAACAGCACATTAATCTGTCTTCCCAAATATTAGATAGTAAATTGTTTTATGATCATAATTTTTACATCTTCTTATGTAGGCTATATTATGGACTTCTCTTTCACAGGAGTTTCTTATACACTCTTCTACTATGGGCACAGAGAGATGAGGTACTGAAAATGGCTTGAGCATTTTACATTTATTTACATTTCTTCATAGTACAGGAAAAGAACATCCTGCTTTCTAGGTTTATTCATTGGGCAATGTTACATGAATCGACTATTTCAAATTTTATCTCTTTTATAAGTCTTCTTTCCATTCTTCTGTTGTGCCTATACCAAATATATTGGTTTCTGAACGATCCCTTACAATGTTGGGTTTCACCTTTTTCTAATCTCCTGTTGACTTGCTAAGAACACATTAAATTCAAATGAATACATAAATAATGACAAATATGAAGACAATTCATGTCTCTATCATTAACACAAAATTTGAAAATATCCAAAAGCAACGGGTTGTTTCACCCAACACCTTCATGAATAAATCTTGTGCTTCTTTTCAGTTTTATACGACAGCATTTCCAGCAGTTATGGCAAAGTAGTGACCTTAAGGGAAGTTTGAAAGCATTCAGATTGGCTGAACTTGATCATAAAGTTGTGATGTCCAAGTAATCTGTGTTCTGGTCGGTAAGTACTTAAAATGGTAGAAATGTTATGTTGTATATGAAGACATCCTCAGACAAGTTTCTTAAAAGACAGATGAGGAGGAAAGTGCACCTGCCAAAAATTCCCTCACAGAAATTTACATTTCCTTGGTAATGTGTGTCAGCAGACTGCTAGGACTATATATTTAAATATTTCTATTGTTAACTTGTAACTCTGTTCTGGTAGATGCTCTGTCACTATATTTATTTTTCAGTTGGATATTCATTTTTTCAGTGACAAATTCATGTAATGCATCAAGTATCAAAATAAATCAATATATTGTAAACTTTAAAAAATCCATGAGAACTGTCACAGAAAATCATTAGAAAGGATTAATTTATTGATGATACAAAACAGACTACGCAGGGACCCTAAAACGCAGATGTTTTAAGCATGGGAACCCTGATATAAAGGAAACGGTACCATGATAAGTGGAAAGGTTTTCTGTCATGTTACTGATATCGGGCTCTTCAAAGTTTGCCTCATGATAAATCATACAAAGGCCATGTATTAGGGAATATGCCTACATTCTCATATATTAATGTATTCCACGCACAGTGGCTTAATGATACAAGATCTGTTTTTTTCAGACTGTATATATATATATATATATATATATATATATCCATTAACTCTTTTAAGTATGTACTTTGGATATTGAATGAAGTGAAGGTTACTGACAACTGAAGTAACGACGCATGTCAGTATTTACATGTGAACATGTGCACACAACCACATACAGTCTGCATTACTTTTGTTACAAGCAAACCTTTAAGTGCAACCATGGAGATAACTGTACTGCGATTGAATTTCTTCATTGTTATCATGTAAGTTTACATATTTTTAAATTTTGAGACTATGACATTTTATTTGCTCTACATACTATATTATTTTCATGTATGTAAAATACAATTTTGTACACACTTAGGCTACATAGTTTCTGTTCTAGTGGATATGTATCCAGCAGGATTTTAAAAAGGTATGCATATCAGATAATACAATAAAAGTAAATCAGTCAAATGTATGTAGACAGTTTATTCGCACAAAAAAATTTCCATGTGTTTTATCACAATACATGCTTTCAAATAATTGGTGTAAGAGAGAATCCAGAAACCATGGAGAAAAAAATCTTTTCATGTTTTATGGTACTTGATACTTTTATAATAAAATATGGAAGAAAATCAGTTTTTTGATGAGCAGTACAATAGTAAACATATGTAAAATAGGTAGACAAGAAAAGCACATGAGCCATTTACAAAAATAAGTAGCTATATGTTGTGCCCTATTGTGCTCTTTCTTTCCCCATCAGCTTTACATGGCATTTCATTCAACAGGAGATATAATACAATTAAAGCATAATCAATTTAAATGCTACATTTTAAGTTCACTTGTAGCTCATAAACAATAAAATTACTAGTGCCCTAGTGCTCTTGATATTAACAGTGGCAACAAAGGCATAGTTCAGCTATTCTAATAGCATTCATTTCTCAACACAGTTCATATTTTATATCAGCAATTCCGATGAAGACCACAGTTCACATCCA